AGCTTGTAACACTCCAAAGAGAAAGGAAAACTTGAAATCGCATCATATGACCCCTTTAAGTTTTAGTTTAATTTATTTTTATTTTAGTTTTCTAACTTTTGTGCTTCAACTTCAACCTATTTAAGTCTAACTTCAACCTATTTAAGTCTAATTAACACTAATTTTAGTGTTATTTATGGAATATTTTGTAATATTTATATACTTACAGTAATTTTATTAATATTTTGCAATAGCCTTTATTTTTTATAGTTTTTTTATCGTTTATTTTTTAATTTCAGTTTAATGAAATTTTTAATCAGTTTTATTCGTTTCTTTAAAAAAAAATAAAAAAAATATATATATATATATATACTGTATATATATATATATATATATATATATATATATTATTATTATTATTTATTTATTTTTATTTCATTGGTTTTTATTTTAATTTTAGTTAAAGGTAATGACACTGGTTCTGTGTACTAAATTCAAGTGGCACCAAAATATTCATTTGATTCTTGCAACATTCTCTCTTGGTCTTCCTCCAGGTCTTCATTAACAGTAAGGGGCTGCTGTACTCAGTGATTCTTCTCCTTGCTTCTGTTTTTCTCACTGTAAGATGATCATTTCTAATTTGAGAACTCTATCTTGATCTCCTATTTATGCTCGTTCATATTTTGTAATCTTTGTCTCATGGCCTGTTTTCTGTCTGTCATTGTTTGCACAGGTACTGAGCGTGCACCTGAACCACTGGAGGCTGGACCGGAGGTTAGGCCTCGGGCTTATGTTCCTGTATGCCATCTTCCTGCTCTGCTCCATCTGCTTTGAGAGACTCTAGATCCCGCTTTCCATGTTTTGCTTAGCTGTAGGGTAGATCTAGACCTAGATAACCATATTTTAACCCCAGTCACTGCTTTATTAGTAGCGGTTATTTCAGCAATGGTTTGAGTCCGGAGTAGTGAACGTTACATTTTGAAGCGTGACTCTGCTCCGGCTTTAAGCCAATCACCTGCGAGACAGTGCTGCCAAACTCAAGGAGACTGTACTTCATACTGTACCTCTGAAACATTTCTACTTAGCATACAGAGCTTCTTTAAGAGAACAAAAATCAGTTTCAATTTCAAGGTGTGATGAATTTATACAAGCGGTATTAAATGTTTACAGCACACAGGACACTTCCTCTAGCCTCGCCTTTTGCATATTTCTATTCTGAAATCTTATAGTCACAATCAAGCATGATACGAAGAAAAATATGACATTGCAAGTGTGTTACTACTAAAAAGAGTTCTATTAACTCTTGTAACAGAGATCACTCAATTTATTGCATTACTTTGCATTATTTATTTTTGACTTTAGGTCTGTAAAAATGTGTGCTTTAGGATTCGAGGATTTTCCTGTTTCGGTATATTTAAGAGCAGTTTGTTCATTTTTGTGTTGTTTCTTGAAAAAGAAAATATTCTGGTATTTTGGAAAGCATTTCTTGTAGTATTACTGATTAACCAAAAACATCCCCTGCCTTTGGTAAGTGTTTACATACCAAACATACATAGTTTTATATAAAGTCCCGCTTTAGAGGTGTCTGCTGAACATTTTGATTTGTTGTAATGAAATTACTTTTGTGCCCTGCTACAACACTATGATTATGAACATGAGAAAGAAACAATCAATTAAATCTTTAACAATGTGTAACCATTATTCACAAATAACTGCTTTATACACAGGCCTTTACCATGTTAAAAGCACCAAATGAAGATGTCGGTAATCTCAATATAGTTATAATATATATATTTTTTATTTTTTCCAATGATCATATATTGCATACTGTCTACAGGACAGATAATGAATTATAATTAACATAATTTAAATTCATAATCAAAGGATTTGGTACAGCAGTGTTTTAATTGTTGTGAAGTTATCTTTAAAGTTATTTTTGACATATTATCCTTGATTAAATGTGCTTATGTTTTAGTTCTGTTGTATGTTTAATTTTTTAAAGACATGTATTGCTTAAGTCCCGCACACAGAAATTGTGTTGCTTGTGGTTTGCAGTTCTCTTAGTACTAATGAGCAAAATGTAAAGATGATTTTTATCTTACCACTCACAATAAAAAGTATGTGTTAATTAAATCAATGTGAGAAATAAATTGTAAACGACAAGTTACAGCCTGAGTAAGCATCTTATGTTCCAGTTCAACATCTTCCCTGTTTGTTTTCATTTTAGAAGTCACAGTGAAGCAGCTCAATATCTCACCATTTGTTACAGTTCTGTCTATATTCTTAAAGATATCTGTATGTTGTTGAGTGCAATAAAACAAGGTCTGTGCAATACCCCAAAACATCACTGTAATGAGTCATTTGCATTCTTCCCCTTGAACTTTGTTACGACCCTTTAAGATGGTCTAGGGGTAAAAGGACTAACATTAAATTTGTGGCAAATCTGTAGACTTGATGGAGGCAGCAAGAGACAATGCAGGGACACAAACTGCCAACGAAGTGATTTATTATACAAGGTGAAAAGAATCCATATAACTACAAAATATAAATCATTTAAAGAGACAACCCATATGTACAAATATTTACAACTCAGGAAAAAGGGAAACAAAAACAAACGACAAATCAACCCAAGAGATAGGGGACGCTAGTGACGCCAAAAGAAAGAAAGAAACACAACAAAACCACTTCTAACTTATTTTAAACCTCTAACCTAACTAAAGAAAAGAAAGAAAGAAAAAAAAAAAAATCTTCAGCGCCAAGCGCCATATACTTCCCTACTCTCAACTAATAACAATGAAACTTACAGGGGGTGGCGTTCACCTCTTACCTATGGTGTCTAAACATATCAAGTTACCTAAATGTTGCACAATGGAAGTCGCACGACATCTTCCCCTATGAGTATAACTTCCTCTTGAGTAAAGAGTAAACATCATAGAGCATAAGCTCATCAAAGCTCAAAGAACAACGCCATCAGAGTCACAAAGTAACAAAATAACCAAACGAAATAGTAAATCAAAAAGGGGAAAGGATCAAAAATGTCAAAACAAAAACACCAAGGATTTTGGCATAAACGAAATAAATAAAGCAAGTCAAGACAGCAAAAATCAGAGAGCAAAAAAAGGTCTCTATTCACGTCTCTCCGTGTCCTTTTATCTGCCGGCGAAAACTTTACCAGCAGCGGATAGGTCGGCGTCAAGTTGCTTAATGATGACTGACAGCGTCATGAGCCAATCAGCAGTCAAGGAAGGCGACCTAAGAGATCGATAGGGAAAGGGGAAAGAGAGAGCGAGAGAGAGAGCTAGCGAGAGAGAGAGAGAGAGAGAGAGCGAGAGAGAGAGAGCAGGCGAGAGAGAGAGAGAGCGAGAGCGAGAAAAAAAACACAGGCACTCCCACAAAACAAAAACACCAAGGATTTTGGCATAAACGAAATAACAAATAAAGCAAGTCAAAACGAGTAAAAAGACAGCAAAAATCAGGGAGCAAAAGAGGTCTCCATTCACTTCTCTCCGTGTCCTTTTATCTGCCGGCGAAAACTTTACCAGCAGCGGATAGGTCGGCGTCAAGTTGCTTAATGATGACTGACAGCGTCATGAGCCAATCAGCAGTCAAGGAAGACGGCCTAAGAGATCGATAGGGAAAGGGGAGAGAGAGAGAGCGAGAGAGAGAGAGAGAGCGAGAGAAAGAAAAACACAGGCACTCCCACAAGGACATATATGGACGTAACAAACTTATGGAAGTGTCGCAAATAAAGTTTCATTTTGTGAACACATTTGAGATGCTGAGTTCTTTTTAAGAGTGTATTTATAAGCATCAATTGGGAAACATTTTTAGGAAAGAAAGTTTTGTAGTTTTTACAATGGATTAACATTTACTATAACAGTTTATATCTTCAATTTGGGATCTAGCAATGTGTGTTGACCCGGTCCTTAAACTTAAATAGGCCCATTAATTAAACAAGAGTTTAACTTTTTGATTTTGATCTATTTATCAAAGAATTCTATAAAAAAAAAAAGTTTCCACAATAAATTAATCTGCACAACTGTTTTCAAATTGATAATAATATGAAATATTACACCAAATCAGCATATTAGAATGATTTCTGAAGGATCATGTGACACTAAAGACTGGCATATTGATACTTAAAGTTCAGCTTTGCCTCACAGGAATAAATTACATTTTAAAATATATTCAAATAGAAAACATTTATTTTAAATTGTAATACTATTTCACAATTTTAAATTTTTTACTGTATTTTTGATCAAATAAATGCTGCCTTGGTGAGCATAAGAAAAAAAACCATAAGAATCATACAATAGTGTAAATTTTTTTGACATTTATTAGCAAAACCAATGATCACACCAACCATTCACTGATATATAAAGGTAAAATTTAGTTTAGAAGAATTTCAGTACTTAAAAAAATCTTGCTTTTCTCCAAAGTATACCCAAAATAAATTATGTTCTTTACTATGTTCTTGTTGTTTCTTTCTGTTTTTGGACACAATGTTTAATCAAAGACAGTGGAAGATGAGAGATGTTAGTCCAATACTTCCACCTGCAATTTCGGGAAAAACAGAGACACATAATCCATCACTGTGCTACGCTATTTGTCCATTTGGCACCAAACCTTTGTGTCATATTATATACCTTTCACTTTGATAAATACAGCAAAAGAGAAACCAATAGCACTGTCCCAGGACACACGTCATCTGGTGCGTAAGAGGGCTTCTTGAGTATTCATGGATTGCTTTGCATGTGTGACAGTAACTTTGAACATCGCTGAGAACAGAATTGTCCAAAAATGCTTGTAATGCAATTAGCTTGTTCCACATAATAAAAATGCACCGATTCATTCAACAATAGGGACTGAACAATAAAACATCAGACCAAATATAGATAAAAAATAATTCCACATTTTTTAAATACGTCATAAGATGTCAGACATAAAGAATCTGAGGCAGAGCAGTCACTGATGGAAAGTGAAGAGTAAACATTTGTTAGGGGTCTCTGTGCAAGCAGAGATAGGCTCTGTCTGAATTGAAAGCACAACCTTAATTGTGTCTATGACGAGGGAACCATCACGTCAAACCATTAAGACTGGGATGGGGTGACAGGAGCAATACTGATCCCTTCAGGATAGATGGCCTCTGAAGATATAAAACTGAAGATCCTGGCTGGGGCGAGAGAACTGGAGATTGGAGTCACCCGCCAACCTCTCAACATGTTGTCACTGGCACTGCTCTACATTCTGGCTGTGGTTTGCTCTGCGCAGAGAACTCATGCACTGCCTCTTTATTCAGACACAGAACTGCCACAACAGGAAGGTAAGATTAGCAGCGTGCTCTTGATAAGTTGGCAAGCTCATGGTTTTTGTTAAGGCTAAATGTATGGTGAAACCATGTGTAATGGACATTGGGCTGATTGCTCAACATCACTTCTGCTTTCAATGTAAATGTTAAAGAGAAAGTGGTGAATGCAGTATGGGAAAGATTTGATAAAAACCCATGAGCTCTTTTCTTCAATTCTTCTGCACTTCAAATTTTAAACATAAACATTTAACTTAGAAACAGAAGAGTTTTTGGAGAAAATTCAAATAACACAAACATTTTCAAAGTTGTAAATAAAACAAAGATTATTAAAATATGTTTTACAAGAAAATAGTGATTCAGTATTTCTTTTTTAAAATGTCATGTTTAAGTCAATTAATTACATGCTGTTTTTTGTAATTATTTGTGAAAATTACGAGCAATTTCTGAGTGTAAATTGTTTCACCACCAACTTTTTTTAGAGTAGTTTTCGAATGTAATGACTCAGTTTTTGTAGTTTATAAATGTATTTTTTAATCTTTGCAGAACTGATTCAAAAACTGGTGGCAGAGGTTGAGGACAGACAGAATAATGACTTAACGGAGCAAAGGGACATTAAAACTGTGCTCCCTGTCCTGCTGCAGAGAGGTGAGACTGTGACTCTTGGGTACTTATAATTACATAACATTTGTCCTGTTATTAGAATGGATACAATTTTCAACACTTTCTGTAGCCTAATCATGTTTTTTTTTAACTTTCCTTCTAGGTGCAAAAGAGACTTTGCAACAAGGCAAAATAAATAACATGGTATTAGCCTACTCTTTGTTATAAATGTACAGTTCTTTCTTTCTTTCACATAATTAAAAGAGTGATAATGAATGAGTATGTTCTGTCTTTAGGTGGATGATTTAAAAGCAGTCGTCTTGAAACTCGCAGCAGCTGATAACCTGCGTTCTCAAGGCTATCTACGATCTGAGCAAAACTTACCCAAAAACAATAAGAGAGGTGAGCAATTAAAGTATCTAAGCAGAAGTTTTCATATACTGTATGTAGTGCAAAAAAAAAAAAACATTTAATGAATGTTTTAAAGTACATACAATTATGTAATGCAGATAAAAAGTGTCAAAGACAACACAATGGCTTTTTATTCTTCTTGTATTGCATTACTAAATCCAATTTTTGTCCTTCCTTTTACAGCCTGTTTTTGGAAATATTGTGTTACAAACTAGGAATCAGTCTGCTGAGATGGACAGAGGACCAGCCTAACACACCTTATGTACAAACACCTCAAATGTATGCTTTTGTTTTCCCCCATAAAAAGTCCACCCAGCTGCTCTTTGACATTGTGAATATTGTTTTATATATAGTAATTTAACAGGAATATGAATGTATTTTTTATCATGAATGAAAACTGACCTAGAACTGCAACTGTAAAATAAAAATATAGTCTGGGTAAAACAGATGAGTTGTAAGATTTATGTTTTTAAACCAATCTTTCATCAAAGCTCTGGATATGCTTCACGTTCACATAAAAAGAGAAAGACAAACGAGTGATGTGTATAATATTAATTTTATTTTTAAGTAAAATCTGAAAGAAAGCAGTTTAATCTCTTTCTTAAACAATCCCAACGTCTAACAATGGTGTCTGTGTGACTCATACATCCATCACAATAACCCTTAATACAAAACAACCATTACCGCCGCATGACTCACTGACTCACTGAACTTTTATCTTTACAGTGTTTTCAGCTCATTCTTACAGATGATTAAAAACACATAGCCTTTTAGGTATACATTACATATAACCGAATACCCCCTAATGAATGAAAAATACATATATACACAAATAGGCACAAAAACATTACATATGATATTGCAGTTAAAAGCACAACTCTGTTGACTGTTGTGCTCAAGATCATTTGCAAAGGATCCTATAACCTCTAAAACTAGTAAAGCCTCTTTGCCAGTAGCAGTCACTCAGAAGGGCTTTGAGATCACAGGCACAACGAAAGTACTTTAGCAAACTGTGTGTGGTGTGTTTTTGGCTTCAACTGTAATAGATTTCCACACCTGTGAACTACAACTATGTAGATGGCTATAAACTTAAGAACTTGTATTTACACTATTTAAACATTTTATCACAACATTGCTTCATTAATCTGAAGTTCAGTTCCTCTTGGCCACACTCAGATAGACTTTCTCAATTTCAATGTCAGCTGGACAGGTCTGGCTGAACTCTTCTCTCTCATATGCATTCTGCAGGTAACGCCACACTCCAGTGAACTGAGCAGGAATCTCAAAATCACAGTACTTTTTGGCAGCAACCTACAAAACCAAAAAACAGAATGAACACGTTTATAAATATGTATTTAAAATGAAGAAGCTTTATTAAATCACACAGGCCTGTGAACGTATAAACCACAGAGGCGTATCACCTTGATGACGTGCAGCTTTGGTAACAAGTTGCAGTCTGCCAGTGTCAAGCGGTTGCCATCAAGGAACTTTCTTTTGGATACGCTGATGTTTTGATCTAGCTCATCCTGAAGCGGAGTGTTCAGATAGTCATCCAGGCGCTTAAACTCCCTCAATAAGGCTTTTTCGTGGACTGAGGAATCAAACAATAGAGAAAAAAATATTTGAGAGTGATAACCTATAGTAGGCTACATTATAACCTAATTGTAAAGCCACAATGTCTATATGCACAGGAATACTTAGATACAAATTTTGTTTTGTTCCATTATGTAGGCCTAAGTGTCATGTAAATTAATCTAATTATGTAGCTAAATATTTTATAATATCATCTGGATTCAGCTTTACTGATACAAAAAGTAAAAATCTTCATATAACTGTTTACAGATCACCCATTGTCTGTACTGGCAGGTGACGATTTTCAATTACTCTTTCTGCCCCTCAATAACCAGTAGGTGGCGACAAATTGCTGCCCTTGTGAGTAATTGAACCATTCAGTCATTGAACCGATTCGTTTCAAAAAGCTGATTCATCTTGAAGCGACACGCGACTATTTTATTTTAAACGAGTCATTGAATCATTCACTGAACTGATTTGTTCAAAACACTGAATCATGCAGCAGGAACGAAGCACTTCAGTAATGTTGGGAATACAGGTGCATCTCAATAAATTAGAATGTTGTGGAAAAGTTCATTTATTTCAGTAATTCAACTCAAATTGTGAAACTCGTGTATTAAATAAATTCAGTGCACACAGACTGAAGTAGTTTAAGTCTTTGGTTCTTTTAATTGTGATGATTTTGGCTCACATTTAACAAAAACCCACCAATTCACTATCTCAACAAATTAGAATATGGTGACATGCCAATCAGCTAATCAACTCAAAACACCTGCAAAGGTTTCCTGAGCCTTCAAAATGGTCTCTCAGTTTGGTTCACTAGGCTA